ACAAGCAGACAATGTAATTAACCAAATTCACCCCATTTATTACTCTTTCGTATCCCCTTCCCCTCTCTTTAAAATATTTGATTATTCAATTTTCATACATGTGTATGAAGTACTTTGACCACATTCACTCCCCTTTACCTTCTCCTTTTGCCCTTCCCCCTCCCACTGCTTCCCACTCTCATGAATCCCTGTTCTACATTACAGTCGTTTTTTTAGGCTATCCTGGGGAGTTGAACTCACAGCCTTGCTCTTGTTACACAAGTGCTCTACCACTTGAGTCACCCTGCCAGTCCTTTTTGGTTATTTAGAGATAGTTGTTACTTTGACGACCAGACTGGCCTGGACCACAGTCCTCCTATTTATGCTTCCCCATGTAGCTGCGGGCGACAGACATATACTATTGCACCTCGCCATTTTTTGCCCAGACTGGCCTTTAATGGCAATTCTTCTAATCTCAATCTCCTGAGTAGCTAGGATTATAGGCTGCAAGCACCACACCTGGCCTTGTCATTCATTTTTTTAAGGACTAGATTCTATACATGTCATATTTTTCTTTCTTAATGTGGCTTATTTTGATTAATATTCATTTTCCTGAAAATGACATAATTTTGTTTTTCCTTATGTTTGAATAATACTCCAGTGTATGTGTGTGACATTTTCTTTAACCATTCATCAGTTGATGGTACCTAGGCTGATTCTATGTTCAGACTATCGTGAATAGTGCTACAAACATGGATATACAAGTATCTTGACTATATGTTGACTAATATTCCTTTGAGCATATGCTCAGGAGTGATATAACAGGATTCTATTTTTAGTTTTTAAAGACTCTCCCTAGACTCTCCTATTTATTTACATGATGGCTGCATTAATTTGAAAATGTCTTTTTTTAAATGTCCTCTTCAATTGCTTTCATCAGTGTTTTTTAGTTTTCATTCTATAGAGTTTTCACCGCTGGCTGAATTTATTCCAAAATATTTTTATAGCTACTGTAAATAGAATGATGTTGTTTTTTATCATATAATTTGCTATTGGCTTATAGAAATTTCTGATTTTTGCACATTTTTTATTTTGTACCCTGAAACTTTGTTGGATTCATTTTTTAGTTCCAATTACTTACTATGCTCTCTTTGGGAGTTTTCTACATGTAAGAGCCTGTCATAAGCAAACAGTGACAAGTTGAACTTCTCATTTAAAAAATATATATGCCTTTTATTTTGTTGTCTTATCATTGCTCTGGCAAAGACTTCCATTGCTATGTTGAATAAAAGTGGTGAAAGTTAGCATCCTTGTCTTGTTCCATAGAAAGTTTTCAGTTTTCAGCTTTCCCAAGATGTGGGCTTATTATATATGACCTTTGGCATGTTGAAGCACATTCATTCTATTCCTAGTTTGCTCAGACTATTTATCATGATTGATATTAACTTTTATCATTCATGATAAATCATTCACATTTTATTATTAATTTTTATCAAACACTTTTTATGCATCTATTGAGATCATCACATGGATTTTTTTCCTTCATTCTGTTGATCTGATGTATCATGTTTATCGATTTGTGTGTTAAAACATCCTTGCATATCTGGAATGAATTATATTTGGTCATACTTAATAATCTTTTTAATGTGTTGCTGGTTTGCTAGTGCTTTGTTAATGACTTTTCCATTTGTTCTTCTAATTTATTAGTTTCTTGGCATATAGTTATAACAATATGCAGTAGTCCTTGTATTTATGTGGTGTATGTTCCCTGATTTTATTTACATCTTCTTTTTTTTAATCAAGCTAAGAGTCTGTCAATTTTTATATCTTTTCAAAAGTAGGTTTAATCTTTTAAATTTTTAAGTCTCTATTTCACTTATTTCTGCTCTGATTTTTATTATTTTGCCTACTAATTTTGGGTTTCGATTAGTTCTTATTTTTGTAGTTCTTGGTACTGCAAAAAAAGTTCTTTATTTTTATTTTTTTTATTGCAATCTTTTGCTTTTGTGATGTTGGTGATGACTGCAATAAACCTCCCTCATACTGCTTTTGCTGAATCCTATAGGTTTTGGTTTTTATTTATTGTTTCCACTATCACTTACTTCAAGAAATCTTTTAATTTCCTTCATAATTTCTTCCTTGCCTTGCTGGTTGCTCAGGAGTATGTTGTTTAATAATTATGTTTTTGCATAATTTCCAGTTTCCCTTTTATTGATTTCTAGTTTTATGGCATTATGTTCAGACAGGATTCTCAATATCATTTTAATTTCTTAAGGTTTATTGAGACTTATTTTGGGGGCTACCATATAATATATCTTGGAGAATCTTCTATGTCATATCTCTCTTTTCATTGATACTATCAGTTCTTTAATTTCCCTTTTGCTTCTATTGACTCAATTCACTAACGCACAGGCATAAGGCTTGAGTCAGACAGATGTTGGGTCTGACTTCTGTTCTGCTTCTGTTTCCTGCCTCTCTGATTGTGGGCAAGATATTTAACCATTTAAACTTCAGTTTCCCAATTATAAAATGGGCAGAATTTGTCAAATTGGAATACTCTTTGAGGCATATTTAAGCATCACACCTGAGCTATAGCAGATGCTCAGTAAATGTTGGGAGTATCATTGATTGTGTTGTGTTTGTCTTACATCCAAAGCCACAGCACTTTGTGTTACAGGTCTCTTGTTTGCCTATTGTTCTCCCGCCAGACTCTGTTCTCCCCCAGAGCACTTACACCTTTGTGTTTTGGTCTCTCTGCTTTCTTTCTGATCTATAACTAACCTTGAACATTTATTTTTTTCACTTTCTCTGTGATAACTCAGGATTGTTATTTCTGTCTTCATTTCTTAAAATAAGAATCTAAACAACCTGTGTCAAATCACCCAGCTAATGGGTAGCAAATCCAGAACTTGAACTCAAATCTGATTCAAGGTCAGTGGCTTTGTTTAGAAGTAATGGTTTCTCCACTTTTTCAATGCAAACCTGAAGAAGCCAGCCTGTATCTGCATGTGCTCAACTCCAAGGTATCCAATTCAGGAGTCTGTAGAAAGCTGAGTCCAGATCACATTTTGCTTGGTAAGCCATGTTTCCTGGCATGGGACCATGTCTCCTAAAACAGAGTCTCATTACTAATTTTTACAACAAAAATATTAAAGGAGTTACTAGAGGAAGACTGTCTCCATCCCATATTATGTGACAAACATGCCCCCTCCAGAGTCAAACTGGAATTACACCTTCAAGTTATCATGTTTGCCATCCTGTAGGCAGGCATTATACTTTCTCCTAACCCACATTACTCCCATCTCTTTTAGGTTAGGGTAGAGAAGCAATTATATATTCTTGCATAAATAAACACTAGTGGATGTAGAAGTAGAATAAATTTAGAGACTATTATACTAATTCACCCTGCATTTGGGAAGGCTGGCTATCAAAACAGAATAAGGAATAATTGTGAGACCCCTTTCTTCATATTCATATTTTTCTGGTTGATACTTCTGTGAACTGGCTCTTTTTTCTCATATATAAATATTTCCCACAGATCAAGAAGGTGTTGGCAATGAAAAATAAAAATGTGATTAAAATTGGATCTCCCTTTTAGTTCAATTATGCATTCATGCAGCAATTTATTTAGGTTGTCAAACTAAAAGCATTGAGTAGATGTAAACATTCTTTAAAAAATAAGCTCACACTAAGAATTTATGCTCCTACAATTATTAAATTATCATGAGGACAGTTATATAGGAAAAGTTACAATTTGGTAATTTCTGCAATGGCATATTATTGCTTTCAAAATCTAAAGATTTGAGAAACATGAACTAGTTTAACATATTATAGCTGTTTCCTTCCTTTCCTTTTCCTTCTCCTTCTTTTTCTCCTTCAACTTCTCTCCCTCTCCTCTTTTACCTCCTCCCCTTTTCTCTTTGTTTCTGCCTCTCACTTCATTATTCTCTCTGATGTGAACAGGAATGTTAATTAGGTCCTGGCATTTTTATATATTTGACTTAAATTTCATGGAATATCAGATATTCTATTAAATAAAAATCCTACCAGAATAACCATTTTTCAAACTCAGAAATCAACAAGTTATAGCTAGTAGTTATTTAATGGATCTAGTTTACCAGAGAGTTTGAGATATTTCCTATTAGCACAATAAAATTAAATGGCAGTTATTAGTGTTTTTAGTTATAATTTCCAATTAATAAAGGATTCCAGGAGAAATGTATATCAGTTTTTACAATAAATAGGTGTCTGCAAAAGTTTTAAGAACTTAAAATGTTCTTTTCATCATATATCTAATTTATTTTCCTAAAATTATAAAAGTAGCTATTGTGAAATAAAGACTAGCATTAGATCAATATGTACAAAGATTAGATATCAGTTTGTTATAATATGATGGATTTATAAAATTCAAAAGGTACATTCAATGAACTAGCAGTCTTGCCTGAAATTTCATTAGTAGAGATTCATTTCTTTATGTTATACTTTTATCTCTAAATAGACTTTATTTAAAAATTTTGGAAGGAATGGCTCATTAAGTCTGTATCATTCACTAATTATGATAAAAATTCTTGTTTGGGGGATGTTTACTGACTCTAGGAATTGCTTCGTTGCATTTTAAATAGGAGCTGGTTATCTTTACAACAATTCTACTTAGTAGATTTCAATTTCCCAATGTTTTAACTAGAGAAAACTCAGGAAAATAGAAAGCAAATACTTTCCTAAGTTATAAGAAACAGAATCAAAATCAAACATGGGAATACCTGATTATAAAGCCCGAGCAATTTCCTATGAGGATTTGTCTCTCCAGGAGCAGGCCAGAAATACCCAAATTAGAGATTCTTGGGAAAAGGCATCAAGAAATGAGTTGGGAGGACTACAAAGGCAAAATTTAACAAGTCTCATGGCTTCACTGATGATCAACATTGAGCAGATATCACTTCCTTCCAGCCTTTGTTTGAATTACCATTAATTTTCCACTCTTGATATCCTTAAAATTTTGATGGTACTTTAAATTGATCTTGCAGGCATTGTTTGGTGACAAAATGTTCTACTCTCACACATTGTTTGACCAATTTATTGCCACCAAAGTGTGCAACCAGAAGATATTCTATCCTGTGTGCAGCAAGCTCTTATTTACTATAACTGGATATGATCCAAAAAATTTAAACATGGTATGTATACTAGTCAAGTCTGGGAAAGCAATGGTTTGGTTGCACAGAGGTGATGAGTGAACTCTCTGGATGGCACAGAAACTACATTACAAGGTCTTCTTTTTGTCCCTTGGAATGTAATTAGTATATTCATGGCTTCCAACTCAGACTGAGTCAACCAGCTTTCAATGGAGTACTCAATTTATGATTTTCTGCCATAAATTCTAACTCAGCTAAAATAACATAATTTAAAAGTCTTTTACTTGGATTAGGGCTATGGTTTTGGAATTTATCTCACTGTGTCTGAGTCCTATCTCAGACCTACTGAAGTAAAATCTCAGAGGGTGATTTTGGACATCTGTATTATTTTTATCAGTTTTTCACAATCAAAGGTGATTTGTAAATTTTTCATGAATCATTCCTTAATCAAAACAGATAAACAGATGTTTTCTTCAATGACAGCACAAAATTTACTTTTCAAAGAGTCTGAGAGGAATCAGTGTTGTGGTTCTTATCAAGTCATTTCTAATGTAACTGACTTCCTTTTGCTTCCAATTTACCACTAGCTAACTTGAAGAGTAAGAAAGGAAAAGAGAGGAAGTTACTATTTTATTCCCCAGATACAGAGAAGCTATGTTAGAAAGCAGAGGTGGAACAGAGCTGAAGATGGTTTCCATTTATCGCTTAGACCTCTGCCCAGAGCCTGCTCTCCCTATGTCAGTGGGAAACACTGATTAACATTTTCTTTTCTTCCAAGTCTTTTATAAAAGGATAAAGTATACCAGAGCCACTGCCTTTCCATATTCCTCTCTCACTAAATCAATTTTCAAGGGATATGATGTTTGCTTATCATTTTGATGTGGATGAAAGCATGTTGTGTAGGCGGAGTGAAGTAAAAAAGTCCTTAAAGCAAACACAACAGAGGATAATTTCAAAAGTACCCTCTCGATCTGGTCTGAGAGTTTGATAAAGAAAGACTTCATAAAATAAGATTCTTGACTATCCACTGGAGGTCCTCATTGTCAATATACATAATTGGGTCACTTTTTTGTCTCACTGTTAAAGACTTCATAATAGAATATTACAGCATTTGCAAGGGCATTTACTTTAGTGCAGTATATCCAGAGTGCAGCTTTTGTGGAACTTGGGGGAAAAATACACCTGTCCTGAAATCTGAAAGATTTTTACTTTTATTCAGTAGTTTTGGTTAGCTAATAAGTAGGTGTATTTTTTTAAATCTCTAAAATGATTTAAATGCTCACTTCAGTAGAATAATAACTTCTTTATATTCAAAAATGCAATTGAAAATATAAAATAACAAAGGGTTTTTTGATCCAGAATAAATCTAAATACACTGGAGGAATTCTATCCTACAAACTTTCAAAGAGTCCCAAAGAATATCTGACATATTTTTAAAATCAAGCACCGAAAGGAAAGATTCAGATCTATTTTTAGTGTTTTATGATCAAAACTTCCTCTGAATAGCCTTGGCACTTAGCTCAGGAGAAGGTCACTAAGGTTTTAATCCCTTGACCTCCTGTACTCTTGGTGAGTCTGGAAAGAAATGTGCCTCACCGTCTATCTGCAGCCGCTTGTTGTGCATTCTGTGGGCATGAGGTCACTGCAGGAGAGAAAACCAGAGCTGGGGGGAGGAGAATGTTCTTTGGTTAATACAGTGTAGAGGGTATGGGACTTTTTTTTCTTTAGAAAGAAGAGTAAAAATAATAAAAATTAAAAGAAGAAATGGCTCAAATTTCTCTCAAACGTTTACATGTGGTACGATATCATGACTAGCCTCTAAATGAGAAATAATGTTTGCAGAGTCGCTTGGATGTTTACATGGCACACAGCTCCGCAGGAACATCTGTACAGAATATGCTTCACTGGGCCCAGGTACCTGCTTCTTATTCCTGACCAACACACCCACATCTCTTCAGGATCCTTGAGAAGGACTCCAAAGAGCTTGTTGCATGGTTCTGCAGGTGTCTGCCACTGTCAGACTGATGTTTCTACAATCAGCATCAATTCTTCATTTTGATTTCTTTTCTCCCCTCTGTCCTTCTTGCTCTCAGTGTCTGGGTTATGAGTCTACATATTCTGAATGAGTTCTGATGCTTAGATTCTTCCACATTGCCTTTTCAGGGAAGGTTTGTATTTCTTTCTTTGGGAAATCATCAACTCTTATAGAATTGTATATAAAATGACATGACACAGCCTATTCTAGAAGAACTTGTTCATCTTCTAATTGGAACAAGGGGTGTTTCAGAGTGTGGAAGCAATGTCTTATTCTGAGCAAAGTAAATATTAAGGCAGAGTTATAGTTTGTGTTTTTTACCTTCAGTTAAAATTTTGTTTGTTTGATTATATTATTCCATATTCATTAAGCTCAAATAAGTCAAAATCAATTGGTATAGTTTCCTGAGCCAAGCATGGATAATGTGGTTGTTGTGTGTGTGTGTGTGTGTGTGTGTGTGTGTGTGTGTGTAAGACAGATAGAGATAGAGAGAGAGAAAGAGAGAGAGGAAGAGATCCCTAGGAATTTGCATTTTAGCATACATACTGATAAACTTCGCTATAAAGTTAGGAATCACTATTACTGATAATCTTAAAAACACTGGTTGAGGATTTGTAAAAACACTGGTTGAGGATTTGTAAAATGCTTAGAAGACCTTATCTCCCAAGAGATAAGGGTTTTCTACTGGTAAGGAACAAATAGACCTCCTAACTGGCCTGGCCTCCTGGGTAATACAAATTCAATTTCAGTTATTAAGCACTATGGTCTCCTCTTGCTGTCCATATACATGATTTATTTCAGTCTGATTGAATTATCTAATAATCTTGAAATGATAGCATTGATAGTCCCATTTTACAAGTGATAAGCATTATATCATACATTTCAAAGCTTACGTCTATTTAAGGAAAACTTGTCTCCTTTGACCGAAGGTCTTTTCTAGAGTAAAAGTACTGCTGGATATGAATATTTGGTCAAAATTATGTCCACAGCTAAGGCAAAGGTGTTGATGATAGTGGCACAGTTGAATATCCCTAATCCAGTGCCTGTATTCACAAAGTTTTGGACTTCAGAGCATTTTGGATTTAAGATTTTCAGATTAGAGAAAACTGATGAAGTTTTCCTCAACTGATAAAGTCTATGCAAATTCACAAGACTCCAAAATCCACAAGACTCCAAAATCTGAAACACATTTGGTCTCAGAATTTCAGATAAGGGTTACTCAACCTGTAATAATATTAGTAAAAAGATCTATCTGCTATTTGCTTTATATAATTACCTTATTTAATCTTCACAGTATTCTGAAAAGAATGTTATCATTATTCTCATTTCACATAAATCTTGCCTTAGATAACAGATCTAAGGCTGCATACAAAGCAAATTATTTTGATGTTACAGTGAAAATTCCTAGCAGTCCATTCTATTGCTTGTCATTCCTAAATACTCCCAAATTTTTAATAGCAGAAAACTGCTGCCTCTTTAAATAAAAGTTATGATGGCAATAATTTTAAACTAAAAATCATGATTAAATCTGTGAGTGTGGAAAACATCTGAGATTCAAGCTAAGGAGAAAAGAACCTCATTGTAGTCAGAGAATAATTTAATGAAGTACTTAAGGTAAATGTGAAAATTATCTCTCCTCAATCCAACATGGGCAGCAAACAGAATAAAGGAAACTCTAAGTCTGAATACTTCTAATATTTGAAGTCTAAACATCAAAATGTGAAAATAGTCATGTCCATTATTCTCCAGTGCTCAGCCATGACTACCTTACTCACAGCACAACATGTGACTTGACCCTGCAGAGGGCAGCAGATAGCAACCCCCACCTCTCAGAGAAATAGGGGAGCTCAGTGGGTAAGCATTTCTTCCAATGAAACAAAAATGTTGTAAGGATAGAGAATATAGTCACAATAGCTTAGTCCGCTTGATGAGAATAATAAAGTACAAAGCTGTTTAATAATAATAGTCCATTTTTAATGTTGGATATGTATAGCTACGATTTTTAAAAACATGTATATAAATTTCTGAAGTCAGATATTCAGCATCTTTTAAAAAATGTCAGTGTGTAACATTGTAAATTTAAAGGCATTGCTGTTTGAGGATTTTCATAGAAAAGGTATAAGGGGAATAAAAAATGTGTCAGTTTTGTGAATTAGTATCCATTTTTATAATTTTTATTATTTGACTGATTAACCTTTATTGAAGTTCAGTTTATATGCCTAAAGGGTGAGATAGAACATCAGTCTTTGTTGTGTATGTCCTGTTTGTTAACATTAAATGTGCAGTTATCTTATATCATTTTAATATGCTTATTATTTCTATTTTATTTTAGGCTGTTAATTCTGGTCAATTTCAAGCTTATGATTGGGGAAATCCTTATGAGAACATGATACACTTCCACAAGGTACAACAATAATAATCCTTGCAGTTAATACTGCAAATAACTAATACAGATAGCATTGGTCATCAGGTACCTAGTACTTCCCTTTACTACAGTGAGTATTGCTTATCCTGTGATTGTATGCTACCTTCTGGATCCTACCACATGCCAGATCATTATTGCTAATCCTCACAATGGCTGCACAAGGTAAATATTATTATCCTCAATTTTCCAGAGATTCAAAGAGGTTTCCAAAATCATTTAGCTAGCAATTAATCAGAATATGACACAGGAATTTCTGCACCCTCAGTCCATTTTTTTCCAATATTTTAATTTTTTCTCAAAAAACAAAAACTCTCAGAATTAACACTACATTTTGAAGAGAAAATAAAAAATACACAATCTTCCTTTCTAAAACAGATTTGATTACTTCTTATTCATATTTGATAAAATAAACTAAGATTGCTGTAATAGTTGTTTGATGTCACTTACTAACTACTGTTTTAAAACTACTATATGGATTGTTAAAGATGCATCCATCAGAAGGCCAGGCGCGGTGGCTCAAGGCTGTATCCCTAGCCACTTGGGAGGTGGAGTTTGGGAGGACTGAGGCTGCAGGCCAGCCTGGTCAAAAAAAGTTCCCCAAACCTCATCTCAACCAACAGCTGAGCACATTAGTGCACACATCATCCCGGTTACTGAGGGACAGCACAAATAGGAGGACCACAGTCCAGTAGAATGTGGGCATAGAGGGAGACATTTTCTCAAAAATAACCAGTGCAAAAAGGGCTGGGGACATGGCTCCAGTGTTAGAATGCCTGCTTAGCAAGCATAAAGCTCTGAATTCAGTACCTATTACCACAAAAAAATTATATATATGTATGTATGTATATATCAGAATTACCATATCTAAGAACTGGCAGTATCTGTCAGAGAATGCATATCAAGACTTCTTGATAATATCTATGAAAACTTTGACAGCAAATATTCTATATTAAAATAAAGTACATGCTGCTATTGTTATTTTTTCCAAGTGTGTAAGGAAATCCAAAGATTGTTTGGGTTTCTTGACAGACTGAGCTCAAACTGAGCAAGTAGTCTTCAATGATATACAAGTGTTTCAAAGCTGTAATGTAGAAGGTTAGAAACCGGTTTTGTTTTTCAGACATCCAAGAACTTGTTATATAGCCTAGGCTGGCTTAGGGTTCACAATCCTCTTTCCTCTGTCTGCTGGGTGCTGGGATTACAGTCACGAACCACTACACCAAATTTAATTTTTTGTTTCTTTTATTTTGTTTTTGTTTTCTTGTGGTGCTTGGATCAAACCCAAGGCTTTGTACAAGCTAAGCAAGTGTTCTACCACTGAATTACATCACTAGCTCCTGAAATTTTTTTAAAATGCAACCATAAAACTACAATAATAAAAATGCATAACTCCAAGTGTTTAGAAAAATCTATTTTTTCCTAAAATGTTATAATAAAATGAGCACAGAGCTTGGGGGAAGAGGGTGATGCCAAATATACATTATGTCACAGTGCTATTTTCTCCTCCTGTATTTAAAGAATACCTTGTTCTAGCAAAAGTATGCAGTTTCTTTAGGAAAAACTCTTCAGTTGATGAGTTCACTTTATAATACTCAGGGACCTGTGAGGATGAAAGTTAAGTCATAGGTATTACTTTTATCATTGTGCTTGCAGATTCAATCAAAATCATGACTACATGATGGCAGGGTTCAGTTATGGGTCTTTGCTTGGACCTTTTGAGGAGAGGGAAGAAAAATTAATACATATTGAACTGCAAGCATGTTTAAAAGGCAGTAACTCTAGTCACAACTGTGCTTAATAATGCTATAATGTATGTGGGTATAATTTCCAATGTAAGTCACCAGTAATCTTTTATTGCAAAGAGGATAAAACTTTTTTTTTCTTTTTTATGATTTTACTGGCTTATAATAGTTGTACAGGGGGATGTATTGGGACATTTACATATGTGCTTACAATATATCCTGGTTCAATTTACCCCCTCAATTGTTCTCCCTCTTCCCCCTCCCTCTCTTTTTTAGAACAACTTCAACAGGTTTCATTTTTCTATTTTCATATATGAATACAAAATAAATCTACCATATACACCATCATTTCCCACCCCCTTCCAACTGGTACCCACCCCAGAAAAGATTTATATTTCCCTATTCCCCTTTATTTTTTAAAAATTGTCTACTGACAGTCCAAGGGGGTTTCTGCTTGGTACTTCAGGTCTGTATATATTGTATTTTTATCAAATTAATCCCCTTCCCTCTGTTACTTAACTCATTCTCTATCACCATGCTCCCCTAATATTCAACAACTTACTGTACCATTCATTATATTATACTCATATATAGATGTGTTGTTTCAATATTTTTCATTCTATAGCATTTTCTTTCTCTCTCCCACCTCTCATAACTTCCTCAGATGGAGTCACTAGTACAATTTTGCTCTAACATTATATGTATACATACATATTTATATATAATCATATATGTTTCTACATTTAACTTATAAGTCTAGCTTCCACATATGAGAGAAAACATGTGACCTCTGATTTTATTTTAGCTTGGCTTATTTTGCTTAACATGGAGTTCTCTGGATCTATCCATTTACCTGCAAACAACATAATTTCTTTCCTCTTTATTGGCTGAATAAAACTCTATTTTGTATATATACCACATTTTCTTAATCTATTTATCAGTTGTGGGACATATAGGCTGCTTTCAAAGCTTAGCTATTGTAAATAGTTCAACAATAAACAAGGGTATACAAGTGGCTTTATCATATCCTGGAGCACATTATTTTGGGTATATGCCTAGGAATGATATCACTGGGTCATATGAGAGTTCTATCTTTAGTTTTTTGAGGAACCTCCATATTGCTTTCCATAGTGGTTGCACTAATTTACATATCCAGCAACAGGGTAGAAGTGTTCCTTTTTCTCCATATCCTTGCCAGCATTTGCAGTTAAAACATTTTTTCTTGATACACACATAAAAATTGTTAATTAAAACATTAATTGTTAATTTAAAAAATAGGTAGGCAAAGACTACCAGGTATCATTTAAATATAAATCTTATTATTCATTTTGGCTTTGCCATTTTCTAGACCCCTGCTTTTATCCTAGAAGAGTACTTAAATCGTTGGAGTAAAGGAATATTCTCATTCTCATTTCAGGACTCTTAGACCTACTTTGTGCCCCAAAGCTTGCTGATGGTTGTTGCCATCTTTGTGTTATATTGTTTTACTATTCTTCATTGCTTTCCGTGTTTGCATCTTTTAAATGTTTATGCTTTGAATTATGCTACTAAGAAAACTGTCATCCGGATAAGCATGCTTTTTCTTTCATTTGTTGCACTTAACATTTGAGGTCCTGTGCCAGGGTTTCTGGAGCACATCTTCCCTTTGCAAGCACCAATGGTGAATGCTAATCTGCACTCACTTCCTTCTCTGCCTTGTGGGTTGCTTCTCAAAGCTACACATTCTCATTTACCACTCTTTCTAGTAGGAGATCCAAGGACTCCTACTAGTAAAAGGGAGAAGTGATATAATTAGAATAATTGATAATACAAAGACCCAGCCACCTACCCATACCTGAAAATAAAACCCTACATAACTATACTAGTGGGCTCTGCTTGAACATCTCTTTCTTAAAAGAACTCAAGGGGTACAGTTAGCTGATCAAGGTTGCCTCAGGTACTTTTCTGTTGTTCTAAGAAACCTCTCCCAGCAAGGTCACAATTTCTTAGGATCGGCATGTTTGTGCATGTTACTTCTTCCCCCTAATCTTTCTGCCGTATATAACTATGGTGTCTTATTCAGCTCAGACTACCATTTGAAAAATGTCGTAAACTAGGTGACTTAACCCAATTTATTTTCTCTCAGTTCTAGAGGTACTTGTCCACGATCAGGGTTTCAACATGGTTGGGTTCTACTGTGGACTCTTTCCTGTATTGCAGGTAGCTGCTCTATTAGTGTGTGTGCAAATGGTCTTTCCTTAGTACATTCTCTGGAATGTGAGTGGGGAGAGAGAGGAAGAGAGCAGAGCCTTCCTCTTTTTATGAGTTACGAATTCTATTGAGTTAGTATCCCATCCTCATTACCTTATTTAACCTTAATTACCTCCTCTAAGTCCTACTCATAAATATCATCCCGTGGGGGTTAGGGCTTCAACGTATGAATTTTGGGAGAAGCACAAATTCAATCCACAGCATATAATAACCAGAAATTTTAAGAGTAATTAATTATTCAGTTGCATATAGCAGAAACTCTATTTTAGGTTAAAAAAGTATTGCCTTACTAACCTAAAAAGTAGTAGTAAACTGGCAATAGATGAGAACTTACACACTGTCATCAAGCCTCCTTTTCCCTCTATCTTTTTTCTTCTCCTTCTCAATTTTGTTCAGAGATGTTCACTTCCATTATTATGCTGTTTCCAATTTAGAGATAAGATGGTGACTGGATATACTCAGTTCAGATAACTCTTATAATTTCAAATCCATAGAAAAAAAAACAATTATTTTCTCAATTACTCTGGCAGAAAGTTCCAGAAAGATCTCTGGCCCAGTTTCAGTGATGTGCCCATGTCTTATGCAATCACTGTGGCCAGAAGAATGAATTGACCAGACTTATCCTTTGAGGCAGGGGTTGTGTTGGATCAGCACAAGAAAGAAGGTATAGGAGAAAACTTGCTGGGAGTTTAGCATGGTAGTCACTCTTTTTCTTTGTAACAACTGACTCCCTTTAAACATCACATTTCAAGTGTTTGTTTTCACATACTGGTATCAGTGCATTTTCAGTGTCAATAGTGCCACTGAGTCTAGACTTCTACATATGAGGAGGGATACTTATCCTATTTAGCATTTGGTTTGAAAAGGATGTGCTGCCAGATTAAATGTTACCAGAAAGATGACTTCCCATCTTTCTAGAGGAACACTCTTTTTTAGGATTCTTTCCCATTTTCCCAAAAGTGCAAGTCAGGGATTGACAGTTGTCTTTTGTATTCATAATGTATATTATTGCACCAAAGTACTTTCAAGTGTTTTGAAAGTTAGCATTTGTTATGGTTTTGATCTTAAATAATCTTCACAAGCTCATATGTTGAAGGCTTGGTTCACATAGAGCAGTGTTCACAGGTGGGGGCCTACAGGAGGTGATTGAATTAGGAGGGTTCTGACATTATGAATGAATTCATTCATTTGAATTCATAACTTAATGGGATATAGAAAGAGGTGGAAACCTTAGGAGGTGGAGCCTACTTAGAGAAGTAGTCATTAGGGTTATACCCTTGATGGGTCTAGTTGTCCCCAGCTTTTTCCTCTTTTTTGTCCCTGGTCACATGAACTTTCTTTGTTTCCTGGCCATCATGATGTAAGCAGCTTTCCTCTGCCATGTTCCTCTCCCATGATGTACTACAGGGTCACCCACCTAAAAGCAACTCAGCCAAACAACCATGGATTGAAAGCTTTGAAGTAATGAGCCAAAATAAATCTTTCTTCCTTTTAAGTTGTTCTCAGGTATTTTAGCATGGTAATGGAAAGCTAACAATATTTTAATGTTTATATATCATTAAGAGTATACCAATTACACACTTTGAAAAATGTGCTTAACAACTGATAGTTAATTTTGCTTCTTTAATGTGGTTTTATTTCTCTTCATCTCTTCTACTTCATTTAGCTTACACCTCCTTTATACAATGTTACTAAGATGGAAGTCCCAACAGCAATATGGAGTGGTGGACAGGATGTTGTGGCTGATGCTAAGGACACCGAAAATTTACTCCCTAAAATTGCCAACCTTATTTACTACAAGATGATTCCATACTACAATCATATGGATTTTTACCTTGGACAGGATGCACCCTGGGAAATTTATCAAGACCTAATTGGAATGATGGAGGAATATTTGCAAAATTAAGTATACTTCCCTTCTCTAACCAAGTTAATTTTTGCAATAATGATGAGATGGACAGACCCTAAGATGATTCCCCATTGATTTTCATCATCTAGCATTCTCTCCCTTGGAATGTGGGTGGGACCTGAGTCTTCTCACCCACAAACATGGCAAAGGTGATCGACATTACACTTGTTTAGGTTATGCTATATGGCAAAGGTGACATGATGTTATTTCCTACTTTCATTATATAATATAAGAAATTATCTAAGTAGACTAGAGCAAGAGACAGTCCTTGTTGGCTTGATCAACTATTCAGATGTATTGAGGAAGCCCACATTGCAAGGAATGGTGTATGGGTTCTGGGATCTGAGGATGGTCTCCAGTCTATGACCTCAGTCTACCTACACAAAAAAATGAATTCTGTCTCTAAGACCTGCTTGAGAGTGGAAACCCATTCTTCCATAGCAAAACTTTCCATTGTGAAAGGCAGTCTTGACTGTAGCCTGTGAGACTATGGGTAGAGGACATAGCCATATGTCTGGATTTGCCTGGATTCCTGACCCATAGAAACAGTGATATAATAAATATGTATAGTTCTAATTACTAAATTTGTGGTTGTTACTAGAATAGAATACTACTGTTATTCTTAAGATGTAATAATTATAATAAATATAAAATTTATTTATACTAATTTTATAATTAGATATCAAAATATATAATGTTATTATACATCTTATTAACTAGTACTGTATTATGTATAAGGTTATATTTATATTATGTTTATTATTGTATACCATATATATTGTTATTTTGTCTTTTTGGTTGAATCTTTGACAGACCCTATTCCTTATTCCATATACTTCTCTT